AGAAGTCAACATGACTTACCACAACCAAAACCGCCGCGCACGCTCTTATCACCACCGAGACTTCAGCTACACCGATATCTCCCCGCCCCTCCTACCACTTCCGCCACTCCCACCTTCGCCTCCAACCCGGCGTATCACCCAACCACCATCACCTCCATCCCGCTATACCACCCAACCAGGCTCACCTCCATTCCGCCACACCATCCAACCGCCCTCTCCTCCATTCCACCACACGAGCCAAGCCTCGTCCCACCAAACCCGCCAACTAATCCACTCACCCCCTCTCCCCGCCGGAATCCACGAAGCCCGCGCCGCCATAACAACCGCGCTCTCAAAGATCCGCCCTCACCGCCTGCACCACACACCCACCCTCTCTATCACCACTCGCGCCATCGCCCGCATGCCCGAACTCCAGCGCATCGAGCTCGGAATCGTCGGGCTGCACGAGATCTGGGATGTAGATGACGACCAAGAACGGCGAGCGGCGAGGCTGGAGGATGCGTGTGATGCGCTGTGGATGCTGATGTGGAGTGGGTTGGAGGGTGCGGGGGCGGAGATTGAGGAGGCTGAGGTTATGTGGAATATGCATATTATTAGGGGGATTAAGACGATGGAGGAGGGGAGGGTTCAGGCGGCGGAGGTGGAGGCGCAGGTTGAAGCTGAGGCGAATGAGGGGCGGAGGAGGAGGAGTCGGTCGGTTGCGTATGAGCGGGCGGCGGAGGAGAGGACGAGGAGGAGTCGGTCGCATGTCCCTGGACGACGGGTTTGAGGCTGTGGTCTTCGGGTCTTGAGAGTATATGAGCTGGAGGAAACGACAGAGAGATGATGGACGGGGAGTGGAAGGTAATGGGGTCAACGACATGAAACGATCTTCTGTGGGAGGAAAGGAAAACTAAACTGCAAAGTAAGGTGACGACTCGGAGGAAATGTGAATGATGACTCATTGAATACGTATCTACATGATCAATTATCCATCATTGCAAGCCATGGGAATCTCGGAAATTGGAAGATGCCTCGACATAACCGCCAGTGTATCAAAACGCCGTGTATGCTTCACAACCAACTCTTCTGTTTGAAATTGGAAAACGCTGAAATGCAAGATCGAAAACATGAGTCGGGGCACTAGTTGATAGTGTTTGCTAGAACTGATCGACAGAATTAGGAAGGCGGAAGCGCCTAGGAGCGATTGCCTCGCCTTGTCGGTATTGCTCCTGTTCGCTTGGCTGGAAGAGGGAATCGGAGACTTCCGTCATGTTAGGGTCGCCGATCGGAGTCTTCGTGGGTGAGCGCTTGAATGGAGGGCCGCGTTGCCCCTCCTTTACAACCTCACCTGAGTGGGTTGGGCATTGCCGACCATGTGGCTGTGTCTTTCAACTCTTCTCCGTGTTGTCAGCTTCCCTGTCAGAGCGAGCAGCAACTGTGCCACGTCTCGGCTTCGTCCAACTATCGGGTATCGATGTCGCCTTGAGATGTGGCCTCGGCTATGCAAAAAAAGAACCCCTTTTCAAGGCTAGGCTCAATTTGCAAATATTCGCAGCTTCTTGTCCACGCCACCAGTCGCAATGACGCATCGCAGCTGGAGGGTCAGTCCTGTCCCGTTGGTAGGTGGGATGCCATCTCCATTGGGCTGACTGGCATTCTGCTTCATGTACCCCGGCGCCCATTTCAAACAAGTAATGAAACGCTCATGCTCATCTGCAAGTACTTTCACACACTTCCCACCTTGGCTCAGGTCCCAGCACCGTAGTGTTTTGTCATCAGATACAGAAAAGAGGTATTTCCCACCAGGGTGAAATAAGAGAGCTCTTATCCAGTTGTCGTGGCCTGTTAATGTCAAGAAGCAAGACCCTTGCGCATTCCAAAGCTTGATGGTCTTGTCGCGGGATCCGGTAGCGAAGAACTCAGCTGTACTGCTTGCAGGAGGTGGCTTCGGAAGTCCAGCCAGCTGGGAGAGAAAGTCGTAAGACGCAGCTGGAGCCATTGTACAGCATTCGATCACATGCTCGTGGCCAAGCATGCTCAGTTTGTTTTCTGGTTTCGCCGCGGATATGTTCCATAACTGCGCAGTAGCATCATCGCCGACTGAAAGCAGAAATGAGCCATCCGGTGATGGATAGACATCGCGAACCCATCCGGAATGACCCTGAATCGTCTTCACGCAATAGCCAGTGGTGACATCCCATATCCTTAACGTCTTATCTCTGCTCGCACTAACCAAAAGGTTGCCCGATGCTGGAGCGCCAGTAGCGCCGGAGGGGATGAAACGGACGGCGCTGACACTGTGATCGTGTCCTTGTAGATTTCGGATATTCTTGTATTCATCGGCCGGGTCCCAAAGTTTGATGGTAAGATCCGAACCGCATGATGCTAGAAGGGTGCCTCCATGGGGCCCACCATAATCCACATCAGACACAGCTCTTGTATGCCCCTTGACCGTCCTTTCCAAGTCTCCCAGTTCATAGTCCCATATCTTTATCGTGCAATCGTCGGAGCCAGAAGCGAGAGAAGTAAACACCGGATGGAAGGCGAGGCAATTGATTGTCTCACGGTGGGACTCTAACGTGTGCCGCGGTGGTCCACGGGGGAGCCATGCTGTAGGGTCTTGAGTACGTCTGAGGAGGGAGGTGGGCGTTGCATTGTCGAGCTCGGATTGTAAAGCTGCGTTTCGCGACTCAAGGTCCAGTATCTGTCGCGAAGATTGTTATGATTACACTCCTCTCATCCCTCGCGATTGCCCCTTTGTGGCCTCCTTACCTTCTTTTGCAACCTGACGATGCTTGTCCACTTTCTCTCTAGTAATTTGTCGTACTTCTTGACTGTTGCGGCATCGAAAACATCTTCTTCGAGCTTGAGTTCTGTTCGGAGGGACGATGCGGCTTGTTCGAGGTTGTTGGCAGAGAGATATGCTATCATAGCCTTGTGACTCGAATGAGGGTCAGTGGAAAGGTCTTCGTAGCGAACATTCCGGACATACAGTTCTTCGGCTTGACGCGGCGGTAATGAAGAGCTCATTGTGATTGTTGACAGATTGTGCTCTGAGCAGCATGCGAGTGGGCCACGGGCGAGACGTCCGGCGGAGGAAAGAGAGGCTGTGCCACGCCAGAGAATACGTGGTCATGTGATTTGAGATACTCGAAAGGAGTGTTTTTGGTCCAAAATGCGCACAACGACGAATTTCATGCCTTTGAGAGATGACGCGCTTTTTGCTGCTGGCGCGCGTGCAGCGGAAGCGGGATGGCTGCAATATGTGATTACATAATCTCCGCATAATTTACTCTTCTGTCGGAGAAACGTTTGACCACATAGCCGCGATTGCCGCGGTCCGCGGTCTTTGTTGGACTTCGCGACTTGATTCCTGAGAGTCTCACTTTCACCACATGTCAACACTATTTCTTTCTTTCCATGTACGTATAGAACATGCATCGCAATGCTAGAAAACAACACCACATCATCAAGTGTCTATGTCATGTTTAGGTCGAGCCTCTGTTTGGTGTGGGCAAACACGCCTTTGACCAGAGCTCGCATGGTTATATGGTTATTGTGGTTATATAACCATAACCATGGTTTATATCCATGGATATGGTTATGGTTTTGGATCCTCATATCCATGGATATCCATGGTTATACTAAGCTTGATTAGGATAAACTAAACTTAATATAGTTAAAGCGCAATCTTCTTGGCTATCACATTTCTCCGGTACTCAACTAAAATAATCATCAAAACCATCAAAACCATCAAAACCATCAGTTTCAATCTATTGTTATGACATCAGAAACGTCTCAATCTACTCCAAATCCACCGGACTCAAGTCCTTCTCACTCTTCTGATGCTGTTTGGCAGTATTACCGCTTTTCCAACCCTCTAGAACCTTCCAAAGATTCTGTCGGCCGTCGCAATCGATTTTGTCTTCTTTGTCCCCGTCCTACGAATTCTACAGGCCATCGAGGCAATGCAAGCAGTCATCTCAGAAAAGCCCACGGCATCCGTACGTCCTATAACCCGGATAATCGCATCATTGCTATCAAAACACAGTCAAGCATTGAGGACGGAATGTTAAGACAACGAGAGAAAATATCAGAAGCTGCTGAAGAGAAAGTCCGTGGATCATTCGATCGCAAACATTTTCTGGAATTAAAAGCGCTATTCATTGTACGGCGTCGACTACCTTTCCACATCGTGACATAACCAGAATATCGAGCACTTCTCATTTCCGTCAATCCAATTATCAAAGATCAACTTATTTCCTCAGACAACAGACACTTCGGACAAGTCCTGAAGCTATTCCTAAAACTGTAGACTTGGATATCATTGCCGATGAGCTAGGCGATAGTATTGAAGACTGAGAACAATGAAAATTCATTGAACATCATAAAGATAGTTAACTTGTGCAATGTGATAATCTCAATCTCAGTACGTTCTTAAATAGGAAAGAACTAAACTATAAGAAGACTAGCGTGGTTAGAACCATGGTTCCATGGATGGTTATGGTTTTACGCTATAACCATAACCATGGTTATGGATATGGCCATAACCATCCATCCATCCATCCATGCGAGCTCTGCCTTTGACCGAAGCATATTCCTTTCACCTCGAACATTCCACAACTTTAGCCTCAGAGGAGATCTAGATGGGGATATTTCGGACCCCTAGCATTTCTCCTTACCTTACTAGTCGAAGAGCCAAAGAACAACAAACGCAAGCCGTCGGCTAACCATGGAAAGAGCCTCGGAGCACAAGGCTACACGTATTGGGTGTTGGGCATTAGGTAAACGCTCGAGGCTGGTCTACGGCTACATAAATTAGCCATAGGAAGTCGCAAATCTCCAGCAAAATCACAAGTCTCTAGTCTTCCCCCTTTTCTTTTCACTATCCTTTTGTTCTTCACGAGACAAGTTTGTGACAAGATAGATGTCACAGCTTTCCTTTGTCTATAAAAGTCGAGATCATGGCTTACTGCTCAAGCCTACCTTTCTCTTCTCACCATCGCACTTCTTCCTCGGGAATTATACGACTTCTCCAAATACTCTTCAAGATCTGAAGCTCACTGCCATATCGAAACCTTTTCTTGTCGTTATCTATATAAAACTCCCAGTCAAAATTAGCAACCAATGGAACCAAGGGGAATACTGCCCGCCTAATCCAAACGCTCAAGCTAGTCCAAGTAATCAGCCCCAGCCGCAGATGCCCCAACAGCAGACACTCGTTGCTTTTGACCCTCGTAATATGCCGACGGGTCAAGCCCAAGCGCCCAAGAAAAAAGACGGCAAAATGTCAAAGCTGCTGGACAAAACAAGCGCTGTCTGGAAGGAAGTTAAGAAAGGGACAGCTGGACAACCTACGAATGTGGATTCCAACGCTCTGGTCCCTTTCCGGCGCCCAGGAACTGCGCCTGCTGCTGTCCAGCAGTTTCAGCAGAATCAACAGCAGAACTTCCCACAAGGCGGTGCTCTGCAACAAGGTGGCCCTCTACAACAGACCACCGAGTGGACTATCGAAACCAGGTCGAATGAGAACGAGGAGCGGCAACGACGTGCGAACAGGGAATCCAGGTTCGTCAGCAGGGGTCTTCTTGGCGGTTATCTCGGCGGCTGTTACGGCATGGGCGTCAACCACGAGTATGGCTACGGTGGCTATGCGGGGGACATGTGGGACTACGATTACGGTCATGGGTATGGGGGGTATGGATACGGCGGTTTTATCCCCTATCGTCTTGGAGCCGGGCGTTATGGCGGTCGCTCTTCCACTAGAGCAGAGTCAAATGCAACTGCATCGCGGACCGGCACAAGCACCACCACAGGTCGAATCACCACGACCACTCATGCGCGGGGGACAAATGCACAGGCTCAACTCCAGCAGTGCAGGGTCATCTTCCACCAGGAGTCCACCAAATGCCTCCCGGACAGGACCAACAGCGGCAGTAGGATGGCCGATTTCCTTTTCTTTGACTTGCTTGCGTTTGAAGGTTTATGGGAAATGCGAAGGATACGAGGTATATCCGATAGCTATCAAATCTAGCTTTTCAGAGTGTATCTATCACATCTGCTCCATATCTTTTTGATGGAACGATGTTCACAGTCAAGTGCCCACCTGAGGTCTATGTGCAATGGAATGAACCGTTGCATTCAAATACTTACTCGGCCAGAGCAAGGTCTCCATCTCCAGTTGAGAGTCTTGGCGGTTTTGGCCTGTATGCGAGGGCGCAGGTCAGGTTTGCATCCTGAGCCGCCTGGAGACCAGTAGCAGTATGATCACGTGATGCGCAGTGCCTGGATTCGGAACACTCTTGGAGTGAGTTGAACTCTCTCACTGCACTGCACTACTCTTGCTTCGCACACCAACGCAAAGACTCTGGTGTACTCCCCACGGAACTCACAGTAAAACTCTCACCAACTACCCACAACAAAATGCATTCAAAGATCTCTCCTCGAATGGAGTCAAGGGGAAGCAAGAGAGCGATGGACGATTCCGGGGACGAAGGAGATGAAGAGCATCATAGCAAATCACAGCGCATGGAAGCACCCACCAAGAAGCCATTGGCGCCAGAATCAGCTCGCAATTCTCCCAAAAAGATCACTTCGGTCAGTCCCCGAGGTCAAACCCGACATGAAAGGAAGCTAAACGCCTGACAAAGTACTTCCCGGTCGACAAATCCAATGAGCTTCAACCCATGCCTTTTCCCACAACAATACTCCTTCCGTCATCGGCCAGAAGAAGCTCAACTGTCATCCCCTCAATTGAGCGTGTGCCTACGGAGGAACCAGCCATCAAGGATGAGGAGAGCGAGAGCGATAGTGAAGATGAAGGTAAGGCATATCCTCCGAACCTTCTGCCGTTGTATACACTGCTAACGCACGGATAGATACCAGAGTCTCCCGGTTGAAGGAGAAAGCCATCATCCCAGAAAAGCTCTACCCCATGGGCCGCCCACTCAAGAAAGACCGTTCAGGGAAGACTGGCTCCAAGGTCTTTCAGCCTATGCCGAACCTCCATTGGCGAAAGCTGCATCAAGCCGAGCAAGGGCCCTTTGTCCAGGCGAGTTGGAGTTCAGGATGGGAGGGTCAGAGGGTCTTTGACTCGGACAGGAATGAGGTTGTCGAGCATGTCTCGGTTGAGGAAGAGGAGTGGTGGGTTGATCCGGATAGCGATGATGACTCGCCTTACTTGTCGGATTGAGAAGGTGGGGAGAGGGTTGGGTCATTGAATCTGCAATGGAGTAAGGCAGGTTCTTGATCAGAGCAAGCGCCGCATGTTGTCAAACAAAACACTACTCGAAGATAATATTCATTCCATAAACTTTATGTGTGAGACTCCGATTTTCATTTCCGTACGCATCCCATTAAATCCCATATATCCCATTATCCCATTTCATCCCTGTCAAAGGCTAGCTATTGCCGCCTTATTTCCTCATCCCCGTTACCGCCAAAGCCTGTGCAAGAATCACTTCTTGTACCCACTAATATTGCTGGATGGTCCACCAGGCTGGAATCCACGATGTCCTTGGCTTGTTGGCCAACCCTGAGGGTTGGAAGCATATGCTGGATTGGCCCAATTGGCCGACGGATTCGGCTCGTTTGTCGTGTTTGCGCCTTGCTGTTGGCCCTGACCCTGCCCTTGGCCTTGGCTGCTACCGCCTTGGTTCGAGTTATTGTTTCCAGACATAATTACTGAAATCGGTCATTAAAAGTTCGAAGATAGTGGTGCTTGAGAGAGACTTTGAAAATCTTGCAGGTTCGAAGACTTTGTGTCTAAGAGTGTGTGGTATAGAAAAGACAGAGATGAGCGCCATATCTGCTAGCTTTATACTTGCGATCCACAGTGTGCCATTTTGTGAGAGCCTCCTCGGGATGTGAAATCCCAGAGATTTTTAAGTTCACATAGGGTATTCGTACTCGTAACAGATCAAGATGGCAGTTTTTCAGGCATTGATGTCATACTCGCGGCTCGAATTTCGTTTGACATGCTATGAGCCAACGCGATGTCTCTGATTGCACTTTTCACGTTTCATGAGGTACGTCAAGAACTACAAACGGTGGATATGCGACTCATGGCTTAGGGCGTCAGTCAGTGTGGTCAACCAGAAACATTGAGTCAAAGAAGAAGTGAAAAGAATATTGAAGGTCCATTGGAAGACTAGAAGTGTTTGAGCAACGAACTGGAACAAAAGAAGAGAGCTTCGGCAGCATTTGGGTCTTTTTTGGGCCGCTTTGTTAATCCTGAGGGTCGATACATTTGCATAAAGCTCAAGAGTGAAAGATGTCTGAGAGGCTGTATAGTCTCTAAGGTAGGCACTGGCGCCTGCTAAAATCACTCATATAGGAGCTTCTATGATCTAAACTCAATTGTGATTGTATTTGTGGTAATAGAGAATTGGTTTGATAACCCAACACATCATATCGCTTCCTATGATCCCAAAATTCAATGTTCCCCATTACTATCCACCAAGACCAATCCAGCTCATAGCTGCCGCAGACCGGAGTCTACTACCGCTCTCCCCCTCCGCCAAAAGTAATCACCGCATCCCACCAAGCGAGTTGTACGGATAGCTTCTTGGGGGACCCTGAGGCCCACCCCAGCCCCGATGTCCAGGCCCCGCTGACCACCCTTGTCGAGACTCGCCATAGTCATAATGAGGAGCGCCTTCAGCATAAACAGGCTCTATCTTTACCCGGTCGTTATACGGCTCGTAGAACTGAGTGTTACACACAACAGTTAGATATCAGAGATATCAGGGAGGATCCAGGAGATTGGCAGAATCTACCGGATATGGTTGAAGATGCATTGCAGGACTTCACAGAAGGAGGAGACACAGCAAGGTAATCGCGTGACTCCGCTTATGGCGGATGGCGGTATGGCGGATTGGCCAAGAGGGTTTGGCCCAACCGCCAAACCACCATTCGGCCACGAGGGATTCTATGGAGAACTGTGGGTATAAGTAGTACTGTATTCCCACCTTAGATAGAAGCTCCTCGTGGTAAACTCAAATAGTATATTGTACCCCAATATCAGTAACGCGTACAACCCATCCTTTGTGTGCATTGCTCAACTCCCCGATCTTCAACCCAGAACCGACGTACCCACGTTACACTGAGGTTGTGCGCCTGGTCCAAATCTTTCTTGGAAACCGGATACATTTTGCCATTGACCGGGAGCGTAGTATGGGGCTCGCCATACTCCAGACATGATTCGCAGTTATCTTGAGAATAGCTTGATAGCACAATCTAGCGAATTCTTTTAGCGGATAATCTAGCGGACAATCTAGTGAAAAACCTACTAAATACTAACTAGAGGCTCTACTGAGTCTACTCTACAATCGGGAGTATATAGACGATGCAGTATAGAGAGGATAGGAACTAGATAGAGGTGTAATACTAGAGGTTATATAGTTATATAATCCTAGGGAATATCTGCCAGATATCTGCTAAAACAGCAGTAGGCAATCTGATCTGACAGATAACTATAACGATATCTGACTGACTGAGTTTAACAGATATCTGACTGATTAAGCCAGTCAGATATCTGTCTAATGGGAGCACTGGCAATGACTGGATTTTGGTACTGCCTTGAGAAAGGTGTCGCAAGGAACATGCTGACATCATACTGTTGGCATGCAGGTAGCCTGGGCCCTGATGGTTAATTGAAGGGGCTGGGAAGGAGGCTGGTATAGACCGACCACTGCGACCAGCTGGACTGAGAATATATAGTCTGAGCATCTCCACTTCAGTAAAACGATGGAAAAAAGAGACTAGTCATTTGTTATTAATCAATCATCTGTTTTACACTCGCTCTTAATCAATCACCGTACCTTATACTTTTCAACAAAAGGTACATAATGGTGGATAGAATTGTTGCGGTCGTCTGCCAGGTGCGGAGGGCGGACCAAAAGCATCTTGGAAAGCCACTCCACAGGGTGCAATTGGGCGATTTCTAGACATGATGATGGATGGCTGTTTTGAAAATGGCGGCCTATTGGATGTCACTGAATTGCAGGCAGGAAGAAGGTCGACATTTTGAGTCTTCTGTTGAAGTTTGTAGAGAATTGAATGTGTGGGAACATGGAAAGAGCACTTTCCGGCAGCAAGGCTTATACTTCTATCACTCGGTCTGTGATTCATTAGTGGGAACGCCTGGTGGTCAAACTATGTAGGAAAGTCACTTGAGTGGTGTGCCCTTCACAGAAGGGAGACCCGTGATCATTCTGTTGCAAAGTTTCTGCTTCAGACTGGAAGTTGCACTTAGACGGCGCAAAAGGCTCCATTGAAATTATCAAATGAGCAGGAGTGTCATGTACATCTACATCCAACCGGCCAAAAAGCCCCATCATTCCGCTTCTCCTCCATTTCCATCTTCAAGCACAGCCCATTCAGATTATCCAATGCACGAACCTCAACTCTCTTCAAGGTTCCCTCCGTCTCAAGCCAAGAACTGGAGCTTATCTAAAGCCACAGAACGGATCGTGATACCATGACCCATATTCTCTAAGGCCGCTTGGCGGACCAGAAGGCCCGGTTTGACCATAGCCTCGATGTCCAAGTCCAGGCGACCAATCCCAGGTATTGCTACCGTATACTCCCGTCATCGGAGGGCCTTGTGGGGGCACCGAGCGTATCGGGGCTACCCAGTCTGTGGGTACATGCTCTCGGTGGAGAATTGGGTAATTGTTACGGTTTCCAACCATGATGTTGAATGTCTGTGCCGAGGAAGATGGACGATTTGCAGTTTCAGTCTTGAAGTAGGATCAGGAGAAACAATGTGTTTCCTGGTTTGTGTGCTAGGCTTTTGGTGAGGGAGTAAGTTGCAAAAGTCTTCGAAGGGAACAGTTGGGCAGAGCTTTATGCAGAAAGAATTAATTAGGAGATTGGGACTCGCCTTGCTGGTAGCGTTTATAGCCAAATATCAGATGTGAAAGTTTTTCGGGTAATGCCCTCGAGTGGAATTATCCACGAAGTTTCACAATTGAAAGTCGTACTCTTCACGAAAGGACATGAGCATTGATGCTTTAAGCATAGTCAAGAGGCGCTTCAGCGGAACTTGTTATGTCAATGTTATCCTACACAAGCTGTCGCGGTATATATATACTGCAGCACGATCCTTCAGTGTCGAAAAAAACACCATGAAAATAGCTGTGACTCTCCGCTCTTCTTGTCCTTCACATCTCCGCTCCCTCCAACGAAATTGGCATCTTGACCACACCCTCCTGCTCACCACCGAAGTCTCCAGGGAAGCCCCAATACTCGTGCTTTTTCGCATAAAGCACACCATGCTCCGTAGTATCATTTCCACGGTCCTGGAAGCGGAAGCGACGCTGTTCGCCCAGAGTGGGAGCCTTCTTCTGTGCACCGATCGCCCGCCACTGCTTCTTGCGCTCTTCGATCAAGACCGTCTCGTCTTCCTTGAAGTCCATCCAGTCGCTGATGGCAGCCTCGTTGACGTGGTTCTTGGGAAGCCAGTAGACCCACGCATCGTCGGCGCTTCGGTCAATCTGGTACATGCCCGTCTCGTCATCTTCGTCCATGATGCCGCGGATGGGGTGGGCTGGGGCAGAGAGCTGGTAAAAGGGTGTATCTTCGATATCGCCAGCCTCATTGATAGCGTTATTTTCATCAATCGGGCTGTGATCCTTGGAGGCACGTGTGCCAGCGCCGGAAGGAGGGTTTGCGTCGAATGCTTGGCTGGCAGCGGCGTGATGATCTTCTGGGGCAGTGGCAAACTATCAAACAGTTAGCGAAATAACAGCTTTGTGATCTGTCACACTCTCATACCTCTTGACTTTCGATGCTTTCCTCGATCTTTGCGCTCTGCCCTTCGGCGCTGGCTCCGGCTTCCTCAGTCTTGTTGGCCTTCGATTCATTGACGATGGGCTCTGCGAGCTTCACCCCGTGGCCTCGCTTGGGGTTGCGGATTGGAGACGTGATCATATCGCCTCCAGAGTCGGAATCCTGCAGAAATTGATATAAGACGCCGTTCACACCAAGCTCGACGGCAGCCGCTTCAAACTCACATCAAACGCAAGGCATCGATCGGGTTCTTTGGAAGCATGAATGGCCTTAAGCCAGGCATGGCGCTGTTGCGGAGAGGTCAACATGGGCGAATTTTACATCTTGACTTTTTGTTGACACGGTACATTGCCATCTGCGGGGGGTTTGTGTTCATCGCCAGCACCTGCTGGGCAATCTGACTG